TGACTCAATATTCATATTAATGAGAATGAGTGGATGGTGATGTTAATGTTACCCACCAATTTGTTAATTATTAAATTAATCATCGATTTAAATATTCAAATTTCGAATTATTTTATCAATCAATAACTGAGTTCAGAAGATTGATGATTATTTGGTTAATCGAAAAATACTTCCATTACATTTACAAATATTTACTCAATAGTTAATTGGAAAAAAAATTTAATTACTAATCATTACGTGATTTCTCAAATTTCAATGAAGATAATTAAATTTCAATTATTGTTAGGTGCAACTTCTCACAATATTACTAAACTAATGATTGATGCTGATCTATGGTTTAAATGATCGATTTGTTCACTTTGAACAAATAATATTGAAATCAAAATAAAAAACTTCCGATACGAATGAAAAAAATCTGACTCAATATTCAGATTAATAAGAATGAGTGGATGGTGATGTTAATGTTACCCACCAATTTGTTAATTATTAAATTAATCATCGATTTAAATATTCAAATTTCGAATTATTTTATCAATCAATAACTGAGTTCAGAAGATTGACGATTATTTGGTTAATCGAAAAATACTTCCATTACATTTACAAATATTTACTCAATAGTTAATTGGAAAAAAAATTTAATTACTAATCATTACGTGATTTCTCAAATTTCAATGAAGATAATTAAATTTCAATTATTGTTAGGTGCAACATCTCACAATATTACTAAACTAATGATTGATGCTGATCTATGGTTTAAATGATCGATTTTTTCACTTTGAACAAATAATATTGAAATCAAAATAAAAAACTTCCGATACGAATGAAAAAAATCTGACTCAATATTCATATTAATGAGAATGAGTGGAGGGAGATTCTTACATTGCTCGACGTTAGATGCCCCACGGCAATTGGCACCACTATCCCAGGTATCGTGGCAACTGCATTGGTGATGGCTACGAGAGTCCCCGCGAAATTAGGCGCGATATCTATGTGATTTGCTAGGAAGCCACAGTACATTCCTCCTATGCACGTCACTCCAATTGTCATCAGGGCGACCGCGCCGATGGCATTCCCCACGTAGCATACGATTACGAGACAGACCATCGGCACTACAGAGGCTAATGGACATAAAACATTGCGGGAAAAATGGCATTATTTCATGAAAAATATATAACTTAATACTTTCAATTAATTCATACTTTCAATTTAATTCAATACTTTCCATTCAACAATAAAAACATAAAGAATGGAGAATTATTTATTCCTGACGAGCAATTAAGGGTGCCAAGTGAATTTGGCGATGACCTTGAAAATTGACATTCACCAACAAAGTTATAATTTTTTTAATTAATAGTATTAGACAGATGGTGAACATCGGTGACAATTTTAAAATTCTAGAACTTATCTAAATATTAAGATTAAGACTAAGATCTAAATATTAGATCTTTTTTCAAATTCACTTGGCACCCTTAAGGTGTTTCGGTTGAAAAGTAAAAACAATGAACTATTGTGGAAAACCTAGTGTCTGATAAATCAAATCTTTCCTGAGAACACGTATAAGTTCCAGATTTTTTTCAGATTTCGTAAAAAATTGACAACAATCATTAACTCACCGAAGAGAGTTCCAATTTTCCTCGAAAATGTCATAGTAATAACTCCGCTCCCTTGTAATTTAGTCAGGACATAACTCAGTATCAAAGTAAACAGCCACATGCAGAAGTAAGGCAGCGATGAAAGGCCGGCATTCTGAAATTGATAATAAAAATGAGATCCACCTCATCCTAGACCCCATTACGACAACAATTCACCAATAATGACAACAATAAATTGTCGATAACTGTTGTCGAAATTAATGGTCAATTAGGGGACGGTGGGGCAAAATGAAACACGGGGCAAAATGAAACAGCAAGAAAATGTTGTGATCTAAGGGAGATAGGACGATTTTCATGAGGACCTTTTTTGTAGAGAATTTTACAAGCTACAAAAAAGGTCCTCTTCAAAAATGTCCTATCTCCTTTAGATGACGAGATTTTCCCACTGTTTCATTTTGCCCCGTGTTTCATTTTGCCCCATGCTCCCCTATCTTTCTAAAAATTACCGTTTTCAAGTCAAACCGAAGAACTTCGTTCATATAAGTAGGCAATTGCGTCAGCAGCATGTACCACCCGCAGTTGCTGCAGAAATGTGCAACGAGAATAGCGATGAACGGCATCGACGTGAATATTTTTCTCAGTGGAACGCGTTGGCCGCCTGTCCCATGTCGAGACCCTGAGTTGCCCAGGGAGTTGAGGATGTAGTTTTTCTCGTGAAGCGATATGAACCTCCGCTGGTCCGCGGGTGAGTCCGCTATGACGAGCCACCAGACGGTGAACCAAATGAAGCACAGGGCACCCTCGATGTAGAACACGGCCTTCCACCCCATGCCCGCGGCGATTAAACCCGTCAGGAGGATGGATATTACGGTCCCCAGGGCTGTTCCGGCGTAGATGATCGAGCCTATGACGTTTCGCTCTTTCGGGGGGGCCCATTTCGCTATCATCACGTGCATTGCTGGGAAACTTGCGCCCTTTTGTGGGTTGATTGGAGTTAATAACAGCAGATTACGAATTATTCAGAGGAATTTTGGGATTGGGAGATGATTTAATATGATTGAATCGGTTGAATGTCAAATTTTCGTCTACAACTTTTGTTCGTAGCAACAAATATTGTAAATGCATTGAAAAAAATACAATAATTCACTGCAGAGACAATTCCAAAAAAACGTTCCCATTTACACTATAACTAACAAAGCTGAAATTTTGAGGCTTTACATTCCCTATCAATTTAGTGAATCTTTCAAATTATGTCTGAACATCGTACACCCAGAAAAATTTTTCATCTGAATCAAAAAAATTCTCTTGAAGCAGATAAATCCCAAGTTTGTTTAATTAAAATAAAAGATTTTTGAGAATTTATCGAGCCGTAAAAACCCGGCCGGATCTGAGCCCCAGCCGCACGGACGGGCGCGAGCGAAGCGAGCGAGTGGACGAATCCCCGCCTCGTGTTCGCGAGCGAAGCGAGCAAGGGGCGTGGCCGCTAGTGCTCCCAAAACTACGAACTCAAGGTTAGGGGCCACAATTGACATTCAGTGGAACCAACCGACCCAAAAATGACGCTCTTTCGGGGGGGCCCATTTCGCTATCATCACGTGCATTGCTGGGAAACTTGCGCCCTTTTGTGGGTTGATTGGAGTTAATAACAGCAGATTACGAATTATTCAGAGGAATTTTGGGATTGGGAGATGATTTAATATGATTGAATCGGTTGGATGTCAAATTTTCGTCTACAACTTTTGTTCGTAGCAACAAATATTGTAAATGCATTTAAAAAAATACAATAATTCACTGCAGAGACAATTCCAAAAAACGTTCCCATTTACACTATAACTAACAAAGCTGAAATTTTGAGGGTTTACATTCCCTATCAATTTAATGAATCGTTCATATTATGTCTGAACATCGTACACCCAGAAAAATTTTTCATCTGAATCAAAAAAATTCTCTTGAATCAGATAAATCCCAAGTTTGTTTAATTCAAATAAAATATTTTTGAGAATTTATCGAGCCGTAAAAACCCGGCCGGATCTGAGCCCCAGCCGCACGGAGGGGCGCGAGCGAAGCGAGCGAGTGGACGAATCCCCGCCTCGTGTTTGCGAGCGAAGCGAGCAAGGGGCGTGGCCGCTAGTGCCCCCAAAACTACGAACTCAAGGTCAGGGGCCGCAATTGACATTCAATGGAGCCAACCGACCCAAAAATCACAGCTTCATCACATATATTCGATCCATAGTGTTGACTAAAAGAATAAATACTCACTCCACCAAGCCCCTGCACCAATCGCATCGCCGCAAAAGCGGCAGGCGAGATATTCGCAGCCACCGGGCTGAATATCGACGCAACAGCATTGAAAAGTACCGCAACATTCATCACCCACTTGGCGGATATTTTTTCGGCAATAATTCCACTGGGGATCATGGATATGAGATACCCCGTGAAATACATCGAGTGGATGAGCCCCTGGGTTTTCTTGTCCCAAGCGAACGGTCCGTCAGTCGAATTTGAGCCGTCATTCAGGGCTGTGTGATTCACCATTGATATGATTGCGATACTGACGTTCACCTTGAACCCGTAGATGATGGCCAGACCGATGGAACCCAGTACTGCCATGACATACCGAATGGGCATGAAAATCCTTCTGTCGCCTCCTGAAAGTGACGATTCTTTTATTGCTAGCGCCTCGAGAATTGCGTTGTATAAAATTTGATTTAGCGAGATGAATGCATTAATAGGGAACTTGCATGAATTTTGTTTATTTTTTATTTCGAAGGGTCATCATCTCAATATTATATTTTTAGAATCTAAACTTTCAAAAAGTTGCGCAATAATTACTAGCTAATTATTGAAAATTGCGCGCTTTTAAAACGCTCACGACGTCACGTCACTGGTTAACCGCTAGCGGACCAATCACACGACGGATGTGAGACGAGCTAACCTACCTTCTGCGCGCGCATCCCATGTCTACTATACAGAGACGTCATTGACCGGTGAGATGACGTCATGAGGTGTTTTCAGNTAGGGGCCGCAATTGACATTCAGTGGAACCAACCGACCCAAAAATGACGCTCTTTCGGGGGGCCCATTTCGCTATCATCACGTGCATTGCTGGGAAACTTGCGCCCTTTTGTGGGTTGATTGGAGTTAATAACAGCAGATTACGAATTATTCAGAGGAATTTTGGGATTGGGAGATGATTTAATATGATTGAATCGGTTGAATGTCAAATTTTCGTCTACAACTTTTGTTCGTAGCAACAAATATTGTAAATGCATTAAAAAAAATACAATAATTCACTGCAGAGACAATTCCAAAAAACGTTCCCATTTACACTATAACTAACAAAGCTGAAATTTTGAGGGTTTACATTCCCTATCAATTTAATGAATCGTTCATATTATGTCTGAACATCGTACACCCAGAAAAATTTTTCATCTGAATCAAAAAAATTCTCTTGAATCAGNTAAAATTTGATTTAGCGAGATGAATGCATTAATAGGGAACTTGCATGAATTTTGTTTATTTTTTATTTCGAAGGGTCATCATCTCAATATTATATTTTTAGAATCTAAACTTTCAAAAAGTTGCGCAATAATTACTAGCTAATTATTGAAAATTGCGCGCTTTTAAAACGCTCACGACGTCACGTCACTGGTTAACCGCTAGCGGACCAATCACACGACGGATGTGAGACGAGCTAACCTACCTTCTGCGCGCGCATCCCATGTCTACTATACAGAGACGTCATTGACCGGTGAGATGACGTCATGAGGTGTTTTCAGAGCATTCAAAAGACCAATTTTTAAATTATTATAAATTATGCAAGTGAAATTTCGTGAAATTTTCAGTAATTCAGCTGTCTATTGGGTACGAACAATCTATCAAACGAGTGATGAGCAGATATTGAACTTCGTGCAAGTTCCCTATTAATAAATTAATGAATGAAAGTTGAACAAAATAAAATGATTCAGTAATCGAGTGGTAATTTGGTTTTCTTCGGGTTTAGAATGAAAACAAAATTGCTCACACATTGTGCTAAATTAATTGATATTGACTATTAATATTAATAGTCAATTAATATTAATATTAATCTTAAATCTGAAATTTTTATTTTATTTATGAACACAAATTGCCTTTAGTTTGAAGTAAGAACTAATTGTAAACAAGGTGTGCCCTCAGGGGATTTTGTATCTCAGGGAATAATAAAATTTCAATTCAATTATTATGACATGCCTTGTGGCTTTCTTTTTGGTCTAGCGCATGTCACAATCTTGCATTTGCCCCCAGGGGGTGCCCACTTGACTCCAGGGCATCGATAAAACGGTCAAATAAATAAATGAATGAGAAAAATTTTAGAATTGTGGGCAAGTAGTGTATTTTGGGCTCCCCCGAGGGATCTTTAGCCGCTCAAAGCGTCGATGCATTTGTTTTTATCTCGTTATCTAATAGGGCCCTGGCACTAGACGGCGTTTTCCGTTTTACATTTTTAAACATCTTTATCGATGTTTTTTCTCGGAAATATGTCGGAGACACCAAACAGTCGTGGGATTGATAAATAAAGGGAGTAGGTTGGGTTCCGACAAAAGAATAATTTGTTAATAAAATGTAATTAACTTATCAAATGTCACGTATGAGAAAATTATTATTTTCATCCTAAACTTGAATATCTTATATATGAATAAAAAAATATTTAATTTTTTTTTATTTTTATTTGTATTTTTATTTTTTTATTTATAATATAAATATATATTATATTTATTTCAAAATAAATATGTATATTTTCCATTCTAACGAATGAATGGAAAATTATTATCCCCATCTACTCCCAAGAAAAAAAAAAGTTGACAAAAAAAATTTAATAAAAAAAAAATTTTTGGCGTGAATCAGCGCAAAAAAACAAATAGAATTTTAACGAGAATTATAAAAAATTTTATATTAAATTTTTCCTTGTGGTTAATTACGTTTTCTCCAGGTTTACGGAGAAAACAAAAATACATTATTTTAAATGAAAAAAAAAATGTTAAAATAATGCATAAAATACATCATTAATGAATTAATAGTGATATTAATTAACAAATATGAATAGTTAATATTAATAAAGTAATTTTTTTACATTATCAATATTTAATATTAATATTTATTAATTCATATTATTATTAATTCATTAATAATATCAATTATTAATATTATTATTAATAATTAATATTATTAATATTTAATTTAATATTAATAATTAATATTATTAATATTAATAATAATAATAATAATAATAATAATGTAAAAATACATTATTTTCAATGATGAAAATGTTGAAATTATGTACGAGTCACGTATTTTCGTTTTCCCAATAGATTTGTAATTCTAACGGTTCATCCATCTACAATGGATCCCCCGCAGGTATCGGCTGAATCAAACGATTCCCAATGCCTTCCCAAATCTCCGTCCGCCCCTCCACAGGAGGTCATTAAGACCCTTCTCGTTAATGTCTGTCGGTCAATGGATTCTCTTTCGTGTGTACGTGCCCACCTGCATGAATCTTTCCCAAAATTCATTTGAATTCCGATGATGTGTCCAGGAAGATACGACTCCAGGCGTCGAACACACCCAATCGCGCGTTTTTTCACTGCGCATCGCACGGGTATTTTGAGAACGAGATCACGAGTCTCGTAAAGTCGGAAAAATTTATTTGTGTCGAGACACTGGAGTAAAAAATTTTCCGCCAGTGAATGGACTTCATGTATTTTCCGCAAGCGTGTGGATCGGCTACTCCGGCGGGAAATGATGCAATTTTTTGCGACATCGCGCACGAAATAATTTCGTAGATGAATTTTAGTAAATTTTGCATACAAATTAAATTTTATGTCAAAATTCTATAAGTTGTTCCACGTTTTTTATTAAATTGAAAAGCTCCCATAAAGGAATTCTTCAATATGAATTCTCCAAGAATTTTCCACTATTTTCTTTGAAATATTTCTTTAAAGAATAATTTTCTTTAAAGAAAATTTGAACACACGAATTTCTGTAGGAAATGTCTCAACGGAACAATTTGTATGAAGAATTGAAGTCTTTTCATGTTTTCTATAGAATATTTTCCAACGAACATTTCTATTGAAAAAAACTCGCCGACAAACTGCGGATTTCCCCAACGGAATTGGTCAGAAGTCAATACAAAGTTCAATAGAAAAAGAATAGAACTTTCGAGTGCATTCGCTAGATTTTCCATTAATTTTCCATTCTCGTAATTTATTATTTCACTACTATTACAATCACAGATTATTTTTTCAACTAATTTTAGTTATGAACATCTCAATTAATGCTTGATAATTGTAAATATCGGCTTATGTTTCATCGTCAAGGAAAATAAAATCACGGACGAAAAAATTTAATAGAAAAACCTATCGAATTCGTTGGAAAATTCTATTGAATTTCTATTGAACTGTTCTATTAGTCTTCGGCCGATTCTATTAAAATGTTCAATAGAAAATATTCAGTAGAAAAAGTCAATAGAATTCAATTTTTCTGTATAACTTATTCTATTGAGATATTTTCTATAGAATTTCCTCGGCTCAAATTTCCCAAGTTTTTTCGTTTGATTTTCTTGATGAGAAGAAAAGAAAAATAGGGCGAAAAAAACTTGGAAAATTTGAGTCGAGGAAATTCTATAGAAAATATATGAAAAGAATAAGTTATATAGAAAAATCGAATTCTGTTGAATTTTTCTATTGAATGTTTTCCATTGAACATGTCAATAGAATCAGCCAAAAACTAATAGAAAGTTTAATAGAAATTCAATAGAATTTTCTAACGAACTCGATAGGTTTTTCTATTAAGTTTTTTCGTGCGTGATGCTCTCAATTTCAATTAATGAATCTGGACTATTTTTTGAGACTCGCGCCTGGTAAATTCTCATTACAATAATTTTAGATGCATAATTGAGCCTGATTGAATCATTGAATAGCCGCTTCCAGCTGTGATTCGACACTGAAGGGCGAAATCCGGAAGAGTATCTCAATGTCAAAAGGTCACCATGACCTTCGCCCATGGAATTCACGGTCTAATGCGAGAAAAAATGAATTTCCCGCGGGAAATGACGGGGAAAAATTGAACTAAGGGATGAGGAGGAAATTAATTAGCGGAGTTAATGAGGTGATGAAACTTACCGCCCGGTGAAGCCTCTGAAGCCATTGTTGAGAATTTTTAAACAATTTTTTAAATGAAACTGGAGGAAAATCGGTGATTATGATTTTTAAAAAATACGTTAAAAATTTAAAAAACGAAATGTTTTCGTTAAATCACAGCACATGTCACTAGTTTCTCTTCGAGAAGAGGTGAGCTCCTTCGGAGCGTCGGAGGAGTATTGCCGAATCGAACCATGCGCGGGCTCTATAAATGCCCAGTCACCACCACTAGGGGAAGTTCTCGTTCATGAGAACTTGTGGAGTCTATCCATGTGCACCAACACCAGCGAATTCCATCGATCCCTCAGGCCACTGATGTAATCCCGGTGAAAATCAGCTGTCGTTGATGTCAGGATCATTGATAAAAAATTATAAAGACAGTTTCACACTCGCATCAATGAAAAAATTCAATAGAAATCCTAACGAATTCGCGAGGAAATTCTATTGGAATTCTATGGGATTTTTATGGAATTTCTATTGGATTTCTATTGGAAAATTCTATTTTTTTTCCGCTGAGTATATTTGATATTCGATAAAAAAGTCAATAGATTTCGAATTTCTCGAAAGTGTCTGTTTGGAATTTCAAACAAAAATTCGAAACAGAATTTTTTTTTTTCTCTTGAAATTTGTCACTCGGATTCTCTAATGCAGAATAAAACAAAATCCAGCGGAAAAAGTTGGAAAATTTTCGCCCAATAATTCTGATAGAAAATTCTCAAGAGAAAATTTCCAACAGAAATTCGAAATCTGTTGACTTTTTCTTACCGAATATCCAAAAGAATCAGCGCCAAAAAACAAATAGAATTTTTCAATAGAATTGCAATGGAAACCCTATAGAAATCCCCTAGAATTCCTATCGAATTTTCTAGCGAATTCGCTAGGTTCTATTGAATTTTTTCAGGCGTGTGACTCCGTTTATTTTCCACAAACATTAAACAATTTTTTTTTATTGATAAGTATTAATCCATCGTTGGATTATTTACTTGACTTCATTCAATTATTATTTACGTATGAACTTTAATTTTTTTGTTCAGTTGTAAGTTTTTTTTTTTTTTTTTTTTTTTTTTTTTTTTTTTTTTTTTTTTTTTTTTTTTTTTTTTTTTTTTTTTTTTTTTTTTTTTTTTTTTTTTTTTTTTTTTTTTTTTTTTTTTTTTTTTTTTTTTTTTTTTTTTTTTTTTTTTTTTTTTTTTTTTTTTTTTTTTTTTTTTTTTTTTTTTTTTTTTTTTTTTTTTTTTTTTTTTTTTTTTTTTTTTTTTTTTTTTTTTTTTTTTTTTTTTTTTTTTTTTTTTTTTTTTTTTTTTTTTTTTTTTTTTTTTTTTTTTTTTTTTTTTTTTTTTTTTTTTTTTTTTTTTTTTTTTTTTTTTTTTTTTTTTTTTTTTTTTTTTTTTTTTTTTTTTTTTTTTTTTTTTTTTTTTTTTTTTTTTTTTTTTTTTTTTTTTTTTTTTTTTTTTTTTTTTTTTTTTTTTTTTTTTTTTTTTTTTTTTTTTTTTTTTTTTTTTTTTTTTTTTTTTTTTTTTTTTTTTTTTTTTTTTTTTTTTTTTTTTTTTTTTTTTTTTTTTTTTTTTTTTTTTTTTTTTTTTTTTTTTTTTTTTTTTTTTTTTTTTTTTTTTTTTTTTTTTTTTTTTTTTTTTTTTTTTTTTTTTTTTTTTTTTTTTTTTTTTTTTTTTTTTTTTTTTTTTTTTTTTTTTTTTTTTTTTTTTTTTTTTTTTTTTTTTTTTTTTTTTTTTTTTTTTTTTTTTTTTTTTTTTTTTTTTTTTTTTTTTTTTTTTTTTTTTTTTTTTTTTTTTTTTTTTTTTTTTTTTTTTTTTTTTAATGGTTTATAGTATACAACCCATAACAGGGTTATTGATACTGTCGATAGAATGTCGTACATTTCCTTTCTATACTTTTTTTTTTTTTTTTTAAGTACATTTCGCCTTTTATATGTGGAGCTTACATTTTGTGAAGAATGTGTCTATCGCTGTGAGATAGATTTGTCTATCGGAGTGTATTTAGTTGGAATGAACACATTGAGATACCCGTTTTTAAAAATAAAAATGCAATACCCGTGTTTAATTACGAATCTTCTATATCACAATGTCTCTTCCTTGAGATGGAGAATCCTCCTGAAGTCGTCGAGACGAATCGATTCTTCACGCATTTGTTTCTAAATTTGTGAATTTTGACAGGAGTTTGAGGAGCCATGAGTTCAAATTCCGACGAGCAAATTGCAGACATTCTGGATGAGATTTACACCTGGCTCGATCAGATACCCTTCTCCCGGCCGAGACGAAATCTCGCTCGAGATTTTTCCAATGGAGGTACGCCAATAAGGAGCGAATGGAGCAAAACTGGTGACAACATTTCTCATGTCAACAGACGATACAATTTTTCAGGGAACAAAATCATTCTTTTTTTAATAAATATATCCCCTCCCCTTTGCAATAAATCAAGTGACAAGTTTTCGTTATTTAATTCGAGTTTGTAGTTTAGCCTTTTCTCTTATTTTCGAGTTACGAATTCCGAAAGTAGTCAGACATGAAGATTTTTTTTTTTTTTTTTTAAAGGCCATTTGAGTCCTCTTTTCGGGTCTCATTTCGGCACTCAACCCAACCCTCTGCATGCGGCTGTGGATTCTACACTGCACCGCATTCGCACTTCTATAGAACATAGGAATAGCATGGGAAACCCCAGGAAGCCCATGCCGGTGCATGCGTTTACTCTATTAGCAAAAATTATTATTAGAAAATAGAAGAATTATTAGAAAAATTCCGTTCCATGGGGAATCGGACTCACAACCTTTCGCGCACCAGACTTGCGTCTAGACCACTCGGCCACTGCGTCGGTGGGAAAAAAAAAAAAAAAAAAAAAAAAAAAAAAAAAAAAAAAAAAAAAAAAAAAAAAAAAAAAAAAAAAAAAAAAAAAAAAAAAAAAAAAAAAAAAAAAAAAAAAAAAAAAAAAAAAAAAAAAAANGAAATTTTTTCCCAGTATTCATGGCGGAGTTGTTGAAGCAATATTACCCGAGGCACGTGGACCTCCACAACTACTCCCCCAGCAACAGTCTCTCGAAAAAGCTCGACAACTGGCGAACGCTGAACAGAAAAGTCCTGTCGAAAATCGACATGAGGTTGACTGACGACGTGATCTACCAGATAGCCTCGGCCCAGAGCAGGGCGATAGACTCGGTCCTCGTGAGACTGAGAGCGAGAATTCTGAAGGATTGCAACGACGAGAGGAGGTCCTTGTACACAGCCAGCGACACAGGAATGTCCAGCAACCAAGTTGACTCGGTCCTGGACATGGACGAGGTGCAGAACAAGAAAATTCCAAGATCAGCTTTTCTCAAATTGAAGCAGGAGCTGCAGGAGAAGAACGACATGGTGGCGGTGCTGGGGGACAGGGTCTTTCATCTCGAGAGTTTGATTAAACTCAAGGATCAGAGGATCGCAGACTTGTCGACGCAATTGACGAGACTCAACAAATGATGGAAAAATTTAATAGAAAAACTGAGTTCGTTAGAAAACTCTATTGAATTTCTATTAGTTTTTGGTGGATTCTACTGAAAAGTTCAATAGAAAATATTTGATAGAAAGTCAATAGAATTCGATTTTTGCATGTAACTTATTCTATTGAAATATTTTCTATAGAATTTCGTCGGCTCAAATTTTTGAAGTTTTTTGTTTGATTTTCTTGATGAGAAGAAAAAATAAAATGCAAAAAAAATAGAAAAAGGGAATTTATTTCGTTGGACTTTAGTCTGGGCATAACAAATGATGAAGACAGATGAAAAAATTTAATAGAAAAACTTGGCGAATTCGTTAGAAAATTCTGTTGGATTTCTATTAGTTTTTGGTTGATTCTACTGAAATTTTAAAAGTCAATAAAATTCGATTTTTCCATATAACTTATTCTATTGAGATATTTTCTATAGAATTTCCTCGACTCAAATTTTCCAAGTTTTTTTGATTGATTTTCTTGATGAGAAGAAAAGAAAAATAAAATGCAAAAAAAAATAGAAAAAAGGGAATTTATTTCGTTGGACTTTAGTCTGGGCATAACAAATGATGAAGACAGATGAAAAAATTTAATAGAAAAACTTGGCGAATTCGTTAGAAAATTCTGTTGGATTTCTATTAGTTTTTGACCGATTCTATTAAAATGTTCAATAAAAAATATTCAATAAAGTCAATAGAAATTTTTTCGTCTGTGAAATGGTGTATAATTTTAAAAAAAGTGAATTTATGTCGTTGTACTTTAATCAGGACAAAACAAATGATGAGAAATATTGGATAATTAGTAAAAAATGAATTTATTTCGTTGGACTTTTGTTTGGAATTTTTACTTCAACTTAGAATGTTATATCTAGGGGGTTTGAGGGGGATTATATCTGTGCCCTCATGCTGGGGGGCGACACCAGGATGACTCCATCCCCCCTGACGAAGAGCATTGGAATACTTCGTTTCGTGGTGCGATAGACTTCTTCGTATGTCTCTTCGTCGATTTCCACTGTTGTTACTGTCTCCTCAGCCTCTCCCAGGACCATATTAAGGTGCTGATCGTAAGCCTGGGTGTGTAGACATGTTTTTGGGAGTTAATTTATGTTCAGGGCCATAAATTGATTGTCTAGCTACTGACTTTTTCTAATCGATTTTGACTATTGATCAGTTTTCAATTAATTTCTCTGGATGTAAGGGAGATAGAAGATTTTTTGTTATGACCTTTTTTGTAGAGCTGATTATGCCCTACAAAAAAGGTTATCACAAAAATTTCTCTAACTCCCTTAGATTCGGAGATATTCGCGGAAAACCAAGAGCCAAGTCGACTTGAATCGTATTATAGCTTCGCTAGTGTAATGTCGATAACTCGAGATTGGCAGAGTGAAATTCAATAATTTTTTTTTTCATTTTGAAGATAATTTTACATTCTTTAAAAATAGCTCTGATTCATTCAAATCGCATCATCCAGTCGGGAGATATCGATCATCAAACAATACCAATTCACCCCATGCCACCACCTCTCCAACACTCTTGACGACCCAAATAGCTTCAAAGGAAATAATCAAAATATTCACATGTAAACGTCCACGAAGTTCCCTCTCATTCCTCATCTTCACGTAAATCCTCTCATCCAGGCTCAACCTGATGAGATCCAGTGGTTCCTTCACGTTGATCGCCGGTACCTGCCCCAGAAAAACAACGTATCAGGTTATGTACACACTTGCCCCTCCCCACATCCACCACAATCACCTGTTCTCCCTCATCAGCCATTTCAAAATAAACTCAAGCCCTCGAACCAAAAAAAACTCAATTTTCGATTTGTTTGACTGTTCTGCTGCTTCAAACCTAAAAAACTCTTCAACCTTCACGTTAGTGATGAGCGATGTTTGCCGATTAATCGAAAACTTCGATTCATCATGTCCGAACATCGATGTTTTTCAGTCGATGTTTTCAATTCAATGATCGATTAATCGACTTTCGATTCTTTTTTGCAAACATTCCAATAAAAACGAGAAGAAAAAAAAATTATTTAAGAAAACGTTAAAAATTTTTTTTTCCTGTCATGAGAAAAACATCGATTTTTTAAATCATCGATGTTTTTTCCAGACAAATCGATTCATAACATCGATGTTTTTGAAAAACCTCGATTCTACGATAATCGATGTTTTTTAAAGCCTCACCCATCCCCACTCTCACGTGGGACAGGCAGGGTTGCCCTACTGGACACCTGCATCCCTAGATCCCCCAGACCTAGGGAATTTCCACACATCGAGTTCCGTTAAAATCCCCTAGAGGCGCTGACGTCCCCGTGACTTTCCCGTAGTCGTCACTCGCCCGATGCCAGTTATTGAAGGCGAAGTCGTTCCACAAACGCCATTTTCTGTTGTTCCTCGGTTTTATAACCCACACTCTAGTGTTATCAACAACTTGCTCCGCCGTGTCATGTGAATAAAGCCCCCTCGATCCCAAAAAACCCCAGTGTCAAGTGCAAAGTGTGTCTGACCCGGGATTTTAGTGAGGACTCGTTGAAACCTCGAGGGCGATGCCCGAACACGCGACCGGGGGTGCGTCGGCGGATATGGTGAGTGTTACAGAGGGGGAAAAATCAGTCCGGATGAGGTGTCATCCTCATTTGTGTCAGCCAAAAGTCATTAATTCGGGTGGAAATTGGGTGTCGCGATGAGAGAAAAATTCTGTGATTTTTTTTAAGCGAGTTGATGTCGGAGGTGGTTCTCACACCCTCGACGGCTCCGCGGGGGACAGGGGGTGGTTTTTAATAGGTGTGGCGTGCTGCTAGGGGCGGATACCGCTATCACCGGTAGTTTTTTTTAATAAAAAAATGACGAAAAATGCGTGAAGCGGGAACTTGGGGAAGATTTCCCAGGGAAAGATGCAATTTTGGGGGTTCGGGGGGTGCTCGAGGGGGTTTAAGTCGGGAGCGAAGTTGTTAGGGGTTCGTAAACATTTGGTGACATGAGGGTTTGACCCTTGCGACCCTCAAAATCCCCTAAATTTAATTTTCTAAATTTTCTAAATTTAATTTAATGGGAGAAAACAGTGTTTTCTCTGTGATTTTGGAGTATTGTGAGGGGTGAAGGGCAGGGGGGGTTGTTAGGGGGGTGGAGGGGTGGATTATGCGGGGGTGAGGGTCCAGGTGGGGAATATTGTCTTGAAATCTAAATAAAAATGAAAAACGTATAGAGGTGGATGATTTTTCAGTGGAAGATGCGATTTTTGGGGTTCTGGGGGTGCTCGAGGGGGTTTAAGTCGGGAGCGAAGTTGTTGGGGGTTCGTAAACATTTGGTGACATGAGGGTTTGACCCTTGCGACCCTCAAAATCCCCTAAATTTAATTTTCTAAATTTTCTAAATTTAATTTAATGAGAGAAAACAGTGTTTTCTCTGTGATTTTGGAGTATTGTGAGGGGTGAAGGGCAGGGGGGGTTGTTAGGGGGGTGGAGGGGTGGATTATGCGGGGGTGAGGGTCCAGGTGGGGAATATTGTCTTGAAATCTAAATAAAAATGAAAAACGTATAGAGGTGGATGATTTTTCAGTGGAAGATTCGATTTTTGGGGTTCTGGGGGTGCTCGAGGGGGTTTAAGTCGGGAGCGAAGTTGTTGGGGGTTCGTAAACATTTGGTGACATGAGGGTTTGACCCTTGCGACCCTCAAAATCCCCTAAATTTAATTTTCTAAATTTTCTAAATTTAATTTAATGAGAGAAAACAGTGTTTTCTCTGTGATTTTGGAGTATTGTGAGGGGTGAAGGGCAGGGGGGGTTGTTAGGGGGGTGGAGGGGTGGATTATGCGGGGGTGAGGGTCCAGGTGGGGAATATTGTCTTGAAATCTAAATAAAAATGAAAAACGTATAGAGGTGGATGATTTTTCAGTGGAAGATTCGATTTTGGGGGTTCTGGGGGTGCTCGAGGGGGTTTAAGTCGGGAGCGAAGTTGTTGGGGGTTCGTAAACATTTGGTGACATGAGGGTTTGACCCTTGCGACCCTCAAAATCCCCTAAATTTAATTTTCTAAATTTTCTAAATTTAATTTAATGAGAGAAAACAGTGTTTTCTCTGTGATTTTGGAGTAGTGTGAGGGGTGTGGGCAGGGGGGGTTGTTAGGGGGGTGGAGGGGTGGATTATGCGGGGGTGAGGGTCCAGGTGGGGAATATTGTCTTGAAATCTAAATAAAAATGAAAAACGTATAGAGGTGGATGATTTTTCAGTGGAAGATTCGATTTTTGGGGTTCTGGGGGTGCTCGAGGGGGTTTAAGTCGGGAGCGAAGTTGTTGGGGGTTCGTAAACATTTGGTGACATGAGGGTTTGACCCTTGCGACCCTCAAAATCCCCTAAATTTAATTTTCTAAATTTTCTAAATTTAATTTAATGAGAGAAAACAGTGTTTTCTCTGTGATTTTGGAGTATTGTGAGGGGTGAAGGGCAGGGGGGGTTGTTAGGGGGGTGGAGGGGTGGATTATGCGGGGGTGAGGGTCCAGGTGGGGAATATTGTCTTGAAATCTAAATAAAAATGAAAAACGTATAGAGGTGGATGATTTTTCAGTGGAAGATGCGATTTTTGGGGTTCTGGGGGTGCTCGAGGGGGTTTAAGTCGAGAGCGAAGTTGTTAGGGGTTCGTAAACATTTGGTGACATAAGGGTTTGACCCTTGCGACCCTCAAAATCCCCTAAATTTAATTTTCTAAATTTGAGAAATTTAATTTAATGAGAGAAAACAGTGTTTTCTCTGTGATTTTGGAGTAGTGTGAGAGGTGAAGGGCAGGGGGGGTTGTTAGGGGGGTGAAGGGGTGGATTATGCGGGGGTGAGGGTCCAGGTGCCGAATATTGTCAGCCAACTTCACGTCGATAGTTTAATTCAGTTGGAGATGGGTTTTCTCAAACACATGTGCCTCCACGGGGGGTTATTTTTTCTGGTGTGTTTTTTTAGGTGCTTTGAGTGGGTTAGATACAGACTACCGGTCCCAGAGGGATTCTAAACGAAGTATCTAAAGTCGAACGAAATTCAGATCTGCCTTTTCATTCTGAATCCAATCTGCGCCTCTTCAAAATTATTTCCTCAGTGAAGTCATTCTCAAAATTTTCAATGATTAATTACTCGCGATTGGCAGAGTGGAATCGAACGATTTTTCCTTCATCTTGAAGGTATTTTTTCAATCTTTAAAATGAATTTCGACCCGTTCAAATCGCATCATCTGGACGGGAGATATCAACGACGTAATGAGTCCCATTTTATCTGGACTTTAAAATAAAAAACGAAAGGAGTTGATTCAATTGGTCAAGAATAAATTAATATAATTGAAGATTATTTTTCGGATGTTGACGATCGAGTTCCTCTTTTCTCTTCTGAAATTGTTATGAGAATTATTCCTAGAAATATTGCCTGGAGAATATTTAAATTTGAGTCAATCGTCTCAACCCCTGAAATCTATTTTTTATCAATGTTGCGTCTGAATTGATTCCAATCGATTCCGCTGACTTCATCCGCGTCAAATATTCACGAAACTGTTGCGTAATGCGACCAGAGTGATGATATAAATCTCCCCGTAATCCGGCGATTTTTTATTCCCTCCCATGAACCTTTTATTGCGTTGTCTCTCATGCATGACGCACGGATAAACGTGAATTTATTATTACCCGCATGTCAGGTACTTGGGACTCAACGAATTATCGCCAATGTCCCAGTCCTCGCTAAATCATGACAATTGTTCATGGTTATCATTCATCGTGAAGAGACGTTTACTGTGATTTCAGTAGCCGAGAGGTGATGAAGCATTAAAGATATTGAGAAAAATCTGTTTAAAATAATTTCTAATTTTTTTAATTCCCAATGTTTTTCATTTCTGAATTATTTCTGAATTGTGAAGCAAATATTTAAAAAAATATATTAGAAATTTATCTCACAATTTTCTTTCTTTGAAAAACAACACGAATGAAAAAATTCAATAGAAAATTCTATTGGAATTTTCTTTAGGATTTCTATTGAAAAATTCTATTCGTTTTTTGCGCTGATTTTATCATAATCTCAATAGATTTCGAATTGCTGTTTAAATTTTTCTCTCGAGATTTTTTCTGTAAGAACGCTTGGGCATCAATTTTCTAAGGTTTTCCACTCGAATTCTGCAATGCAAAACAAAATAAAATTCAGCGGAAAAAACTTTGAAAATTTTGTGCCCAATAATTCTAATAGAAATATTTAAAAGAAAAATTAAAACAGAAATTCGAAATCTATTGTCATTTCCTTATTGAATATCCAATAGCGCAAAAAAAAACAAATAGAATTTTTTAATAGAATTCCAATAGAATTTTCTATCGAATTCACTAGGTTTTCGATTAAATTTTTAACATCCGTGAAAAAAGAATTGAAGATTGAAAAAAAAAAGTGAGAAATTCAAATATTTATCGCAAATATTCGCTAAAAAAATGCAAAAACAAAAAAACCACTAGAAATTAACTCAAAAATTTGTTTTCTTTGAAAAACAGAAAGGAATTGAAAATTGAAAAAAAAAATAATTGAAGAGTTTTCATCAAAGTCTGCTGGCACGCAATTGGAATTTCTGGTCAACTGAGCTAATTACTTGCATCCGCCCCATTTCACTCCGGTTTGACATTCCGCAGAGGGTCGTATTTCGCCCTCGCACAGTATCACCTCCGTACACTTCCCTGGGTACTCAGTTTCTCCCCTGCGTAGAAGCCCCAGGCTAACGTCGCGTAATTCTCGATTTTTTAGTTCACTCGAAAAAAAAAAACCACAGGCCCAGTGCCCCAACGAAATATCACACCTCAATCGTTGCAGGGTACCTCGTCATTTTATCGCAATTTCGGGTTTTATCTGCGGTCGGGTTTTTTGGGTCACTGGAACGAATGGAGAGAACAGGCGGAGAACAGTGCGAAGAGAAGGAGTCGAAGCAGATTTTTACTGGCGATCTGCTGCTTCTGCTCGTTCGTAATTTACATGAGTCAACGCGACCTTGGGGGGTCTGATAAGAGAGTGGCTCATTAGTGTGACATTATGATAATGATGTAGTGGAATTCGTGGATAATTAAACATCACGTGTCATTTTAGTTGATTAATTATTAGGGGAATGGGCGAAAAATTCCGATGATTTTGTTTCTGGTTCTGTTGTTTAAAAAAATGTGAAGGGTGACTCCTCCCCGGTCTCTCCCATTTGACCTTCAAGACCATTTGACCGTCAAAATTCGAGAGACGAGACCAGACTGATGAGAGGAGGCAAACGTTCTTGAGGGTCAAATGGGAGAGACGAGGGAGTGATCACTTCGCTCGTCTCTCCCGTTTTACCCATTCGCTTGCCCCTCCCATTTGACCTTTAAGAAAGTTTAATTCTTCTGATCACTCCGTTCATCTCTCCCATTTGACCTTCAAGACCATTTGACCGTCAAACAGTCGTGAGGGTCAAATGGGAGACCATGTGACCGTCAAACAGTCTCGAGGGTCAAATGGGAGAGACAGGTGAAGAGTGAAATTTTCTCAAGCGTTAAACGGGAGAGACGATCAGAGTAATCAAAAGGGTCAAATCGCTTTCGCTCGTCTCTCCCGTTTGACCCACTT